GTAACGGTATGAAAATTTCTTATCACGATTATAGTGACCAAAATTATCATGGTTATCAGTATTATCACGGTGTTGATAAAATGTGCTGGAGATGTTAAAAAAGTACTGACACATAAATCACTTCATCAACAAAAAAATCAACAAATAAAATGACTTTTTGTTTGCATAATCACTAAAACAATAACATTACCAATGATGTCCGGATTTTAAATGACAACTTGACTGACAACAGTTTAATAGCAATGTTGAAATGTTCAAATAAAGCTTTGAAAAAGTTTAATAAAAAGGTAAACCTCACATTTCAGCCTTTAAATGAAGAAAAGATATAAGTCAAAATGATAATTGATTTATCTGCTCCATATATAATTCTAGATAACTTACTTGAATTGTTTAATTGTGTAGAATCCACATAAGCTTGTTTTTCATCAACCGGTCAAAATTTACAGCAGGGCATGCAGATTCAGTCTGTTTTTGGCCAGAAAAAAACTGCACACAGGCTGAATGTAAATATAGGTCTCTGTAAATCCACTCTCTGACACTAGGTGGCGCTTATGGAAAAGCTGTTTCCCGTAAACTTCGTGGACAAAGCAGTATTGCGATTAAGAACACTTCCTTTAGGTTCGTTACATTCCTACCTGCAACTTTACCTGCGCGACTTTAACTGAGCATCGAAACTTTTTCATCGAAACTTTTTCATCGAAACGTCTTTTTTCCCTTTGCACACTCCTTTCTGTCCTCTCCCTTCCACCTCTATCATGTGTTCTCAATACATTCCGCTTGTCTCGCAACAACGCTCTAACTGCATTACTCGCAGACGGCAACGCAATCTTACACACAGCACAAGCCTGATTTCGTGAGCTGTATGTGAGGCGCCCTTTTACACCAGGTTCACACATACTCCCTCCACCCCTCAAGTTAAAAAATCCCTCTCACAGGAGTCACCTAAGAGGGGAATTCATTTTCAAAAGTGAAATTCAGGCCCTGAATAAATGTCTAACATTCCTGATTGGAGTCTTACTATAAATTATTCTACATGATAAAAAGAAGGCTTTAAAAAGATGGGTATCGGTGATGGTATCGGCAGATACTGCTTTCTGTGATCGGCGATCGGCCTCAAAAATCCTGATCGTAACACCCCTAGTTTCAGGTCTTTGAGCTGACGTGGAAGAGTGTGTGATGGACATGGACAATGATGACCTCTGATATTAAAGCAGCGTGTGTGTGTGTCTCAGCATGTTGACACTGTTGCTATAGCTGCAATTGTGCGTCACTCTCAGGTCCATCTGTGGGTTTAACGAGGGTCTCGCCATCTGCGCTCTGATTGGTTGAGACACTTTTATCACGAGGGTTTGTGGGAGTCACTGTACAGTAAACATGAATTCATGTTAATCCTATTATTGTGAATGACTCACCGGTGACGTTATTTTAAAGAAAAACATGTTTGTCTTTATAATCTTTCATCATTTTCAGCTGACTTTACACTCCAATCAGTTCCTGATGGATAAAGTCCTGTATAATTTTTTTCTCATTCTACGGATTATTCCAGCACAGCGCTCGACTAAGATCCTCTGTGTCCGTCATCAGACTGCCTAATCATTTTAATATCCCGGAGTAAAACTCTGTCTGCGCTCAGCTTTCATCAGTATTGTGAGTTTTTCCAAGCGTTTTAGTCACTAGACTGACATTAAGTTTGTGATGTGAATCTGATGTGTGAGTCTGTCTCAGTATGTGAGCAGGATTTCTGTGTAAAGCTAGACCCGTGTGCTTGTGTTTTGCTGAAGTGCTGATGGAGACGAGAGGAGTCTGGACTCGGTCTCAGGGTCGAGAGCAGTTGAATTAACTGGTTTTCTTCTCTCGTGGCCCGCGGGTCGAGCGGGCGAGCCTCATCATGATGTTTGGCCCGTTTGAGATCACTCATCTCTCTATGCCTGTGTGTTTGGGTTCCTGTATGTGAGATTACAGAAGTTTAGGTTCAATTCAAGTTTATTTGTATAGCGCTTTTCACAATGCAAATCGTTACAAAGCAGCATTACAGAAAATTAAAGTTTCTACATTATATTTAGTAGTTGCTTATCAGTGGTGACTATGTCATGTTGATGTCCATATGTGACCCTGGAGCACAAAAGCAGTCATAAGCAGCACAGGTATATTTGTAGCAATAGCCAACAATACATTGTATGGGTCAAAATTATCCATTTTTCTTATGCCAAAAATTATTAGGATATTAAGTAAAGATCATGTTCCATGAAGAGATTTTGTAAATTTCCTACCTAAAACTTAATTTTTGATTAGTAATATGCATTGCTAAGAACTTAATTTGGACAACTTTAAAGATGATTTTCTCAATATTTTGATTTTTTTGCACCCTCAGATTCCAGATTTAGAAATATTGTCCTATCCTGTATAAATATCCATTTAAAAAAAATTGACCCTTATGACTGGTTTTGTGGTCCAGGGTCACATATGGCAGAAATGTACCATAAAATCATGCAGTTATTATTATTATTAATAATAATAATGATGATGATAATTGTAGTATTAATAATAACAATAATGATAATAATTATTATTAAGTACTTTACAGTGATAGTGATATATCTTTATTAATTAGTTTAATTTTTATAATTGGACTAAATAATAATAATTTACACATACAAGGAATTTGTTTTCGTGACATAAGCTTCCACAGTGCAACAGAATGACAGTGACAAGACAAAAACACAGATAATAAAAGAATAAAAATAGAACAAGTTAATAGGGAATAACAATATACAGATTGACAATTGTATGTACAGGTATATTATGTGCAAATTTGAAATGTAAACTAAGTATGTGTGTTAGATAAATAAGTATATAAGTTAGGGCTGCACGATAAATCGCATGCGATATTTAACGCGCACTCTGTATTTTGGCAGTTCACGGGAGAGATTTGCTTTATTGAAGTCCTCGAGAATGATTAAAACAGAGTCCGGGTGTTGTTGCTCTGTCACGATCCGCTCTGAACAGCTGGAAGCCCGGCAGATGTAGCGTGTTGTCCGGTATGGCGTCATTCAGCCAGGTTTCATATAATTATATAATAATATATAATTGTAATATTTTATTTAGATTTTTTTTTTGCACAAAAGTGGGTTTAAATATTCTCATGAAAATAATGTTGCAAAAAAATTATTTAATTTTCTTTAAATAAAATGTGTGTCGTTTGGTTTTGGGGTAAATATGAGCTGGTTTATGTGTCGGTTATGGATATTAACGGATCATTACTCGTCTGGTGTTTGTTTGCGCTGCTGTATGGCGGGTTTAGAGGGAGTTTGTGCTGTCAAGAGTGAGAAGTAAATGTGAGTACAACAGTGTGTTTAATCACACAGAAATTATGCATAATTACAGAGAATAGAGGCTAATTATGAAGCATGTAATTACTGTGATTGTTCCAGACATCAGGCTGTGACTCTCTCTCTGCAGATGGAGGATACCATCGCTCGCATGCAGGACGAGAAGAGCGGGATTCCCATCCGCACCGTCAAGAGCTTCCTCTCCAAGATCCCCAGTGTGTTCTCAGGTGAGTTCATCTATCTATCTATCGGTATTTCTATCTATCTATCTATCTATCTATCTATCTATCTATCCTTCGGTATTTCTATCTATCTATCCTTCAGTATTTTATTTATTAATTATAATATGCTCCAGACATAAAACATTTTTTTCCAGACATTTTATGTTTATATATATATTTTATTTTTGGAAGAAATATGACATTTTATTACACACACACACACACACACACACACTTATTTAATATGACCCAGACATTTGCGTTTTATTTTTCAGACTATTTATTTATTTATTATGATATGCTCCGGACATTTACATTGTTTTCA